GGGGGGGGGGGGGGGGGGGGGGGAGGAAATCAACGATTTCGTTTGAGTGGCTTCATCTGCAATTTGCTAACATGTCACCGCTGAATGAACCGTAGATGGAGTGGCTTAATCTACCATTTGCTATCGGAACACTTTATGTGAGGTCTCAGTAACTGCAGTGTGCAGTTACACACTTCTATCTGGAAACCTCCTTTTGAATTCCATCCCCTATTGTTCGTTTGAACTTAGAAGGAGGTGGCATGTTGGGCTGGTTATTGACATGCAGTTCATTTTGAATTAGCGGGAGCCTTTGCTTCTTCCTTTCTGATATTTACAAACTTTTGTACGTTTTGGATATAGCATATGTGTTTTGGTTGATTTTATGAATGAGAGCCGCAGCTTGACACCTAAGATTCCATGAGTAGTAGATGCTTGTGCCTGAGCATAATCTATTTTATCTGAGTGAGTTTGACCATATTTTCTCCATTCACTCTTTAGTAATCTCTGCACCGTTGTTTCGACCAGATCACAGAAGAAGGGGGCATGTTAGGTGTGCATGTCAGGACCAGTGCTCTAGCCATGACAACGAGTATTAGTTTGGTGGCAACTTTGGCTCAATCATGAAAATCAGTACGGTAAAGGGTTGGAAAATCTTGTGCGGAGTCTTGTTGGAGCCAGACCGTACACACTCCTGACCTCATCTTTAGTGATATCATCATCAATGCCAGTATGGCAAATGGATGGTGAATCTCATGAGGAGCGTTGCTGCGACCGTCAGGCAAAGAAACAGAAACAGATCGACACATTGCTGATCCTCATCTCTGTCTTGGTCTTTATTTTCTATTGGCAGGATTTTGAGCTGGTATTTGACAGAGAAATTTGCTATTGGTGTATCAAGAACTGTCCCGCAGATGCAGTTTCATGAGCCCCAATGTGAAGTCAGGTGGATTTGCCTCCAATCAAGAAGGAAACCTGGTTTATGCATTCGAAGTTCGAACATGGTTTATGCTTGTCCAGTGTAATTGGACGGCGATGTGAAGATGCGTTATGTATCCATTTCCATCGCAACAGTACTTGTTGGAATCTGCATTGGAGCTCATTCACACTCCGTCTCTCTCTGCCCAACGCAACTCACAAAATGAGTGCACTGCTCTCATAGCTTGGCTACGTGTGGTGTTTGTTTGCTGCAGAAAGACAAAGTGGACGCGGTGGCCCTCAAAATGCAAACTGCTCATTTGGATGACAAATTAAGCGAAGTCAATCGACAACTTCTCGATGTTGAGACAGTAATCAAGCGGCTTTCCCGGGAGAGAGATGAGCTAGCTGCAGAATCGGCTGAGAGGATTAAGCTGAAGTTCAAGAAGGAAGAGCTGATTGTAAAGGAACGGCAGATTTCCAAAATGTTAGTTTGAGAGACACCATGAACCCTGCCCTCGGGGACATTTGCTAAAATTGGAACAATATACAGAAGACTAGCATGGCCGGCGTGCAAGGATGCCACACATAAATTTGGAAATGGTCCAAAATTCCAAATCGAGAAAAAAAGGGCACAATGAACCCCTCACTTCTTCTTCTTCTTTTCTTTTCTTCTTTGTTCTTTCGGCTTCTTGTTCTTCCTATGTAGTCGTTGTTGTTAATATTGTTGTTGTTGGTTTTCTTTGTTTGTCCCCTTTATTTCTGAAAACTCATGTATGAAAGCTGTAAAACTGTGTAAGTCGTTGGAGGAAACGAGTTTTGCGAACGTTTTGCGAGAACTGCTGTCAATCCTGTATGCTGTTTGAAGAATAGCTTCCATTCTTCCATGCTGTCTTTCAAGTTTTGAGAAGATAAAACTGGAAGATCCATTATCTTCTCTGACTGTATGTTTGTTTTCTGTGTTGGTGCCCTTTTTTAGTTGGTGTTATCTTGTTTGAGTACATGTTTCTCCTTTGGGTTAGGTACCATATCACCTAAGAGTAAATATTTCCCAGCTGTGGGTAAGTGCTTGATCCCGTTTGCTCTCTCTTTCTGGTGAATATTTGTCCCGTTTGAGCAACATCTGTCTCTTTCGGGTTATGTTTATCTTTGTCTACTTTGCAAGGAACCATCCAATGAGAACAGAAAAATTTCGAAATGTTAAAGCTCATAGAAGACCAAGCATGAGTGAGCCGAGTTGAAAGCAGAGTTACAAAAGTAGAGAGGTGAAGGATTCACGCTGCAGACACCCAGTCCCGGTCCCAAGGTCTGACAAGTCCTAAGCCCCAGGGCCGTCCATAGGGTAGGCCATAGGGCTCTGAGGTCGAAGTGTCGTAGGTCTGTAGCTGTCGGTACCGAAGCGTCGTAGGTAGGTAGGTAGGGGTCTACCCGGTACCCGACAAGAAAAGTCCAGAAGCGTGCAGTCCAGTATGACAGTCCCCAAGTCCAATTTTGCAGCATGTCCCAAGAAAGTCCGGAAGGTACCTGGCCGACAAAATGTTTGCAGCAGACAGGCTGAGGCTGACTGGTACCGGTCTAAAGCAGGCCAAGCCAAGCCAAGTGAAGCAAAGATGAGTCCTATATTTAGCTGCTGCAGTGCAGCGACTCATCACTTGTTCAGTTGCAAGATGCGGAAGCGCTGCTGCTGCTTGTGCGTTACGGCAACCTGGGCACTGTGCGCCTGAGGCAGAAGGGTGCGCCTGAGAGGAAGTCCATAGCTAGGCTAGTGGTAGAGTAGGAAGACGGCGGCTATGGTGTAAGATACCTGAGTGGACGCATCCAGGGTCACAATCCAGGGTTGAAGTGAGAGAGAGAGAGAGAGAGAGAGAGAGAGAGAGAGAGAGAGAGAGAGAGAGAGAGAGAGAGAGACCATAGAGAAGAAAGGGAGACAGGCGAGAGAGAAGTAGGGAAGCCATAGTCACTACTTGGTTGAGACTTGCTATGTGTGTGTGCGCGGCAGAGCCGCTGGTAACAAACATTCTTGTATATTGGCAATAATATTGGTGACGACATCTTCAAGTGTGGATTGTATCTCGTTTTGGCTTTTCATGTTTATCTCTGATGTGGATGTCTGCTGGTGTATGCAAGTTGAACTTGACGGGCGCTCGGTTCACTTCAGAGGACACCAACCCTTGTTACACTGACCACTGTAGTCTCTTGACAAAGAAAGCCCACTTCTTGCCTCCAACAGCCAATTCAACAACAATGTAGTTAGCCCTACTATGATGTCAGCCTTTACTATTCTCCACTCCATTCATACACACTTGCCTGCTATCTCTCACTCTCTCTTCTGCCCACATGTCCTTTGTCTGATGCTGATAACAGCAAATCCGGGAAGAATTGAAATATAATAAGTTATGTAACATTATTTTGGCTCACCAGCAGAAGGGAAGAGTCTGGCAGAGCATGACACCGTTCTCGCGATGGACAGGATCACAATATCTTTCTTATCTTATATTGTTGCTGGGCATATAGCCTCTGAGGATCCTACTCGTTGAATGACACCTAAATAGTAAAACTCAAATAAAAGTTAAACACATTGAAACAGTTTTCACCTTTGGCAGTAGCCGATGCAGATCCCAGGGGTCGATCCCTTGACCTCAGCTTACCTGTGTACAGTATCTGCACAGTTCCCTGGAGTTGAACCCGTGACCTGCACGATA